CACCAAGTGCTGGCCCAGTGGCCTTGGGCAACCATTCTGAGACTCGGTTTCTTCGTCTGTAAATGTCAATAATAATAGCACCCACCTCATAATGTTACTATCAGGATCAAATCTGATAATGTCCATAAGGCATTTTGGGCACCCAGCCAACACTCAGTCACCCCTAGCCGGTGTTATTCCCATCCCTCTGCGCTAGGCGCTGCGCACTCATCCCTGAGTCCAGCCCTCACCGCAGCCCTCTGAGGCGGGGCCCGTTAGGGTCTTCATTTCACAGATGAGGAAACTGGGGCTCGGGCTGCTCAGAGAGATGACTTGCCCAAGGACACACAGCTAATAAATTAGTGGAACTGGAACATATATCCAGGCCCGTTGGATGCCAGAGTTCAGGCTCTTAATCACTTTACTCTCCTGCCCAAGGTCATTTAGCAGCTATTAAATGAGGGAAGCGGGACTGGCCTCCAAGTCGGCTCTCAGACTCTCGGCAGACCGGTGCCGGCCGAGGAAGGCGGCCTGAGGAGCTCCCCTGCAGGGCCTTCTGGCCAGGACAGCGCTGCCTGCCGTTCCCTCCCTGGCCTCTGCCTCACTCAGGAACCTGGTCACATCCTGTCTTCTGCTGTGGTTTCCTTCAAGGCGAACCTTCTGCTTGCTTGCTTGCTGGCTTGCTTGCTTTTCTTCTTTCCTTCCTTCTTTCCTTCATTCCTCCATTTCCATTCCTTCATTCCTCCTTTTTTATTTAAATCAGTCTGGTGCAGAGAGAAGGATGCAAGCTTTGGAGCCAGACAGCAATGCTCTGAATATCCATGCTGCTTACTCACTGCATAGGCTTGGTCATGTCACAGAACCTCTCTGGGCCTCAGTTTCCTCGTTTTGTGAAATGGGGATACTTCCTACCTTGCTTTGTTGTGAAGATGTGCGTAAATGAACACGGAGTACCCAGTGCAGTGCCTGGCACGTAGTAGGTACTCTATGAAGAGTGCTCTACCATCCTACTCCTTACCCCTGGCACCAGGATCAGTGCAAGATTGTTTGCTTGATTTAATTAATGTTTTATTCACCCCAGCACCTAGCATGGTGCCTCACATGGAGCAGATGCTCCTGTGTATGGCCGCTCGAATGGAAAACTGGAGAGAGCTAGAGAGGGAGAACCGCGCAAAACCGCACGGCCACACGGGAGAGCTCTCCTCCCAGAGACCCTCTAAGCAGATCTCCCCCAGTGCCCTGGTCTCCCCGGAGGTCAAACTGAGCTGCAGCTTCTCCTAGACGGCTCCCAGAAATGGGAGCCTGCAACATCAGAGGTTTGTAATGTAATCACAGGTAATGAAAAGGTTCTCCTTCTCCAAGCCTCGAGTGAGTCAGAGCTCTGTGCTTGGCTCTGCCCCAGGGAGTACCAAGAAAATGAAATATCGTCTGTATCCTCATGACACCTAAACAAATGGTCAATTCCATGGGTCAGATATCAGCCAGGGGGGTTAAGAGGCATCTCCAGTGATGGGAGGGGAGGAACAGCAAGGCAAGGACCATTAGCAAAGGTTGCTTTAGTGGGGTCCTTGTACGTGGCTGCTGCTTAGGCTAATAATACCTGTTTGCCTGATGGTGGGATGCTTGTCGCGTCTTCGTGAAAGGCACCGGTAAATGACAACACCTCTGAAATCTACAAGGATTTTGAACCTCTCGATATGGCTCAATAACCTCTTCCACATCCTGACACCTGAATCAAGCATAAGTTCTGATCTAGGTAACACACTGTTCTCTCTCAAAACAAGTATAAACCAACCCTGAAATCTCAGATCTGCTCTTTTTCTTTTCCTGGCCTTTTGCCACCATAGAAAAATGTCTGATAGGCTGAGTTTTCGCACTGCAGCTGGTGACTGTGATTATGTAGACACAGCCTCCGTAAATTCAATGGTGTGTTGCTGGCTGTTCAATAGCTGGTGAGATTAGTGCCCAGGGAAGTGGGAAATGGGCCACCGCCATCAGTATGTGGGCTCGGAACTTGCTCTTCATGCTGTCCCACCCTTTCTCTCCCACACCCCTGCCTTTGTGCTAGTCGCCAGCTTCTGCCAACTTCCTGGCATTCTCTTCCTCCTCCCACTCCCCCGGGGAACCAACTAGTTCAAGAGAAGCACCATCATCCTAGACTGAAGAGACACAAGAGTGGTGGGAACTGAGTGTGTGACGCTCCGCTCTACCACCGCTGTGGACGAAGGGGAGAAAAGAGGGCAGCAAGGTGCCTTCAGGGCTCACTTGACCCACCAAGGGAAGCTGATTACCTGGGGCTAAGAGACCTCAAAACACCATCTGGCCCAGCCCCTCTCTCCAGACAGATCAGTATTAGTACACGAGCCACCCGGGAACAGAACAATGTCCCCTCTTCATAAAGACCTTGGCAGAGGGCTGTCCCAGTCTCAGGCCGCCCCCACCCGCCCCCCACCATCTAAGTCCTGCCTGAGTAGCTGTCCTGTGTGGCTTCCCTCGGGGGGGAGGAAGGAGCCCCGCCCTGGGGGCCAGGGAAACAGTGTTTGACAGCCAGCTCTGTACCTGGTGCTGGGGAGCTCACCAGTCCCCACTTTGCGTGGACCACCTCCCAAGTGGAAAAGTGACAAGAAAGGGTTCGTTCTAATAGCTCTCGAAGAGTGAAATTGCTATAAATCTGTGAGTCTCTTATTTTAAAATCTTCAAAGCCAACTTAAGCCAGTTTAATTAAAATAGGAAAAAAAAATCCGTTTTCAGGGCTGTCTCTACCACAGATATCTTGATCTCAGGGAACCCCTTGAAATTGTGTGTTTTGTGCATTTGGGAGTCTGTGCATTTGGGTGGGAAAAGATTAAAACCATATGTGTGTGATAACCACCTACCCTCCCAAAATATATATATTAAAAGTAAGGGGGAATTCAGGACCTTCCTCTCTGTTGAGGAGGGACCTTCCTCTATGTTGGGGAGCTGAAATGTACATCGCCCAAGCGGGTCCCCTGGCCCTGCAGGTCAGGGCGTAGAGAGTGTCCAGGGGAGAGGGAGGAAGCCCCAGGCCCGGCTCGTGGACAGGAGACGGAGCTGCGTCAGGCTTTGCTTTTCGGCCTCCAGCCGGCACCGCGCATTGCTCTGCCACGTGCCCACCGGTCACACACACTCGGGAAATGCAAACTCTCTCCGAATCGTGGTTTCCTCGTCTGTCAGTGCAGACGGGTTATACTTCCCTCAAAGGGGTGTTGGGAAGAGTAATGGAAAAGGAGTCAAGGCTTGGCTACCAATAAATGTGGGCTCCATCCCGGCACTCATAGCTCGGGGCCCCCACATTTACTACGTGGAAGTCTGCTCCTGTAACAATCAACCCACTCCCTAGCTCAAATTTATATTGGTGCAGTCGCTATGGAAAACAGTATAGAAGGTCCTCAAAAAACTAACAATAGAATTACCATATGATCCATCAACCCCACTCCTGGGTATCTATCCAAAGCAAATGAAAATAGGATCTCAAAGAGACAGCTGTGGTCCGTGTTCGTTGCACCATCACCCACAGTGTCCAAGATATGGAAACAACCTACGTGTTCATCCGCTGATGGGTGGATACAGAAGATGTGTAGATATACAATGAAGTGCCTGCCATTCAGCCATGAGAAAGGAGGAAATCCTGCCACTGAGAGCATTATGCTAAGTGAAACAAGATAAACAAACAAACAAAAAAGACAAATGCTGTGTAATGTCACCCACACGTGAAATCCGAAAAGCTGGACCCATAGAAAGCTGAGCGGCAGTTACCACGGGTTGGGGGAGGGAAACGGAGATGCTGGTCAAGGGCCAGAAACGTCCAGCTCTGAGATGAGCGAGGTCCGGGGGTCTGATGTCCAGCGTGGGGACCGTAGTTAATAACACTGTGCTGTGTATTTGAAAGTTGCTAAGAGAGTAGATCTTAGAAGTTCTCACCACAGAAAAGGCATAGTAATTAATCATGTGAGTGATGAAGGTGTTAGCTAACAACATGATGGCAACCATTTTGCAGTTTGTAAGTGTACCACATCCACCTGTTATATGCCTTAAATGGATACAGTGTTACATGTCAGTTATGTCTCAATAAACCTGAAGAGGAAAAAGCCACCCCTACGTCGCTTCTGGGGGAGAGGCGTGACACCGCAGCCAAGCGTTTCACTTGGGACAGACCCACCACTGGGTTCAGTCCCCAGCTTCTCTGCGTGGACCCGCACAAAGAGTTAAACTTCGCTGCATCTTGGTGTCCCGTCCACAACACGGAAGGACAGGGAGAAAGCTCCCCCTTCCACAGGGTCATGAGGAAAGGCAGAGCGTGCTTAGAACCCTGTCTCTGCCCAAGTGCCAAGCACTGGAGTGTCGTCCAGGAACATCCGGCTCCCCCGTGGCATCTCTTGGCCCGCACCTTCTTTCCCAAGTGCCGTTTGCCCGCCTTTGGGAGTGTGTCCCTAGAGCCGAAAGTCCGGTGTGGCCAACAGGAAGGAGGAGGGGGATCCAGGCATAATCCAGATTCCCCAGCTCCCTTCCCCCCAGACAGCCCACTAGCTGGTTCCTCGTTTCTTTCAGGTCTTGGCTCAAACACCATTTCAGTGACGCCCTGAGCACCCATCCAAAATTTCAAATGCCACCCCCCCACACACACCATTTCCCCCTCCTAGTTTTATTTTCTGTTATACCTGTCAGCCCACCACACACCTCACAGTGTGCTTACTTTTTTTGTAAGTGTCTTCACCTGTTAGCGTGTAAGCTCCTGGGGGCAGGGGGACACAGGTCTTTGTCTACTCGTTCAGTTGCTGTGCCCACAGCACCTAGAACAGATCCCTGGGCAGAGCATGGGTTCTCAGTTAACAACCTGTTGAATGAAGGAGGGAGGGAGGGAGGGAGGGAGGGAGGGAATGAATGAATAGATGAAGAGAGGCCTTATTTTTATTTTCATGGGAGGTAAAGGATAGGGGCTGGTCTCTCATGTGACTCAAGGCCCTCCCACCTGCCTAACCTTGGAATTCTTCCTCTTTTAGGTGCCGCACAAGTTGCACGTCCCCGTAAATCCGGGGATTGACTCCAGACGCCCCCCCGTTAGAGGTACGCACCCCCACCCCACTTTTTAAAATGAAGAGTGAATAGGAGGGAGAAGAATCCAAGGGGGCCACCTCGGGGTGGGGCGCAAGGGGATCCCCACGCTCAAGTCTCTTTTCCTCACTCCCCCTCACACACGGGCGCGCGCGCACACGCGCGCACACAAGGCTGGCCCTGGGGCGGCGGGGGCGCCGCGTCGGGGTGCGGGCGCCTTCGCTGGACCCGCATTGCCCCCTAGTGCCGCGCGGAGTCAGGGCGCCGGGCTCCCCCGCCTGATGTCACCGGCGTGCAGTCAGCCCAGCGGAGGCTCATTGAAAGCAGACCCTCCTCGGCGCTGGCTGGGCGGAGGCGCCGCTGTCCGCAGACCCGCAGCGGGCCCGGCCGGGCCGGGCCGAGCCGAGCCGGGCGCCCCCTGCCCGCGCCCCTCCTCCCGCGCTCCCTCGCGAGCCCGGCCGGCGCGCCTGACGTGGACCATTAACTTGGAGCTGCCGCCTGGTCCCCTCTCTCCTCCTCCTCCTCCCTCTGACAGGCGAGCGAGCGGCGGTGCAGGAGGAGACGCGCGCTGCCGGGCCGGGCGGGCTGCTTGGGGAGATGACTCCTCGCCGGGAGGGCGCCTCTGGGAAGAAGACCACCACCGGGGAGGCAAAGTTTCGGGGCAGCTGAGGAGCCTTCCCCGCAGCCCTTCCAGCCCCGTCAGCCCCCTGGCTATGGAGGGCGGACTCTAAAATGAATCCCGACCTGGACACCGGCCACAACACATCAGCACCTGCCCACTGGGGAGAGTTGAAAAATGCCAACTTCACTGGCCCCAACCAGACCTCGAACAACTCCAGACTGCCCCAGCTGGACGTCACCAGGGCCATCTCCGTGGGCCTGGTGCTGGGCGCCTTCATCCTCTTTGCCATCGTGGGCAACATCTTAGTCATCTTGTCTGTGGCCTGCAACCGTCACCTGCGGACACCCACCAACTACTTCATCGTCAACCTGGCCATCGCCGACCTGCTGCTGAGCTTCACCGTGCTGCCCTTCTCGGCTGCCCTGGAGGTGCTGGGCTACTGGGTGCTGGGCCGCATCTTCTGCGACATCTGGGCCGCCGTGGACGTCCTGTGCTGCACCGCCTCCATCCTGAGCCTGTGCGCCATCTCCATCGATCGCTACATCGGAGTGCGCTACTCCCTGCAGTACCCGACGCTGGTCACCCGGAGGAAGGCCATCTTGGCGCTCCTCGGCGTCTGGGTCTTGTCCACGGTCATCTCCATCGGGCCTCTCCTTGGGTGGAAGGAGCCAGCACCCAATGATGACAAGGAATGCGGGGTCACCGAAGAGCCCTTCTACGCCCTCTTCTCCTCGCTGGGCTCCTTCTACATCCCCCTGGCCGTCATTCTGGTCATGTACTGCCGCGTCTACATCGTCGCCAAGAGGACCACCAAGAACCTGGAGGCCGGGGTCATGAAGGAGATGTCCAATTCCAAGGAGCTGACCCTGAGGATCCACTCCAAGAACTTTCACGAGGACACCCTCAGCAGCGCCAGGGCCAAAGGCCACAACCCCAGGAGTTCCATAGCTGTCAAACTTTTTAAGTTCTCCAGGGAAAAGAAAGCAGCCAAGACCTTGGGCATAGTGGTCGGGATGTTCATCTTGTGCTGGCTACCCTTCTTCATCGCTCTGCCACTTGGTAAGTCGGGGCCCTGGGCACTTTCCGATCTTGGCTTTACTGATGAGCTTGCTGTAAAGTTTTTTTGTGGGTTTTGTGTTTTTACACAGTCTGTGTGTGTGTGTGTGTGTGTGTGTGTGTGTGTGTAGCCTGGAGAATACTGTTCATCCTGTAAAGGCTCTGCAGATTGGGTATCCATCTAAGACCCAACTCAGGTGTTAGTGGAACACACTAAGGGACTAGTCACTTGAAATAGAACCACAGGAGGAAAAGCTGGTATGTGGAATGACTCATTCAGCAGCCTCAGTTTAATAATTAAAAAGGCCACTGGACTCGAACATCACACCAGCCTTATTTCAGTAGTAATCATGTGTCGGCTAAGGCAGTGTCACGAATGCAGCATACAAAGTAGTTTGTAGTTACCGCAGACGCGGCATTTGGAAAGGAGGGAGGCAGCCTGCACATGGAGAGGCAGCTTTCATTCAGCATTTCCAGGGCTCTTGCAGAGAGCCCACACTGCTCGAGAGCTTTGCAGAGGCTGCGTCTCCCTGCCTCCCCTCGCGGCTTGCCGTCACCCCGGTGCACCCCTCCACTGTGAGTTAATAAGAGCATTTTACAACCCCACAGCCCCGAGGCTCCTTTAAGTTGTCTAAAGCCTGAAATTCGAAAGAGCAGGAAGATGACCTGAGGATCACACATTCTCACACCCAGAAATGCTCCTGACTCTCTGGTGATGTTGTGAAGTCACCAGAATTAAATTATATTTGCCTCTCACCTCCAGCTGCCAGACACCAAACCCTGCTAAAATGAAACTGAGTCCTTCCCCTCCTGTAAAAACATGTCCATCTTCTTTTGTTTGAGAGTCCTCCTGAGTTGTTCCAAAGGCTCCCCGATTGATCTCTTCTAAGGAAGAAGAGGTCTGGTTAAGAGGCGAACCTAGAGGGTAGTGTGACATGCTGTCCACACGGCCCGGGAAGCACTTGTCCCCCCTCTGAGGCACTGGTCTGCTTTGATTTCTCCTCCTGGCTCTGGGGATGCTCCAGAAAAATGAATGGAGGGAGGCGATCACGACAAAGTCATGTGCCCTGGTACCGGGAGAGGTACCGGCGGCTGCATGGCACGGACCACACACACCTGCAGTCGCACCAGCGGCTCGGGTAGAGCCCGACACAGCGGAATTCCTCAAGTAACTGAAATCCCGAAGACACACTGCTGCTTTCAAGAGAGAGAGACAAATGGAAAGAAAGCAAATTGATATCGGGAGTTTCCCTTTAAAAAAGATAAAGGAAAAAGGCTGTTTAACCTTCTCTCCACAGTGTCATTTCTAAGGCCGGCTAATGCCCATCAGAAGTGTTTTCGGTGTGTTAAGTGGACAGGGTTGGAAGGTCTGCCCTCCCCCACCCCCCACCCCCAGCCAGGAGTGATCACATCTCACTGCAGAGACTCTTTCTTTTCTTTCCCAAGGTCTCGGGGTCCTTTTGCAGGCTTGTTGGGTTAAGGTGGGTGACATTCATACTGCATTGGGCCATACAAAGATTGTGATTGTATGTGGAAGTGATATGGCCACTTATTATTAGCTAAGTGACCTTGGGCAAATGACCACTTCTCTGTGGGCTTCAGTTTCTGCATCTGCATAATAGGGCCAATTACGATTTGCTCCATGGGGTTCGAGCTAATACATGCAAAGGACTTAGTACAGTGGTGCACTGCTGATGCTCAGGGAAAGTTAGCTGTTAGTACTACAAACCCAAGCCCAGCCAACCCCTCAGCTGTAACTGTGTGCTTTCTCCTTCTCTACCCATGTGCCAACCCCACACCTGTTACTAAGGCTCAGGAGAGAACTGGGTCCTTCTTCCCTCTGCTCCTGCCCCCTGGCCTGCAGAGGCTAGGGCCAGGGCATCCTCAGCAAGGAGCAGACCCCAGCAGGAGGCACGGATGGGTCAAAAGTGCAGGCTCTCACTTAGGGGGCAAGGGAAACAGCTCCAGATAGGAGACGAGGCTGCCGGCCTGTTGAAATGCTCCAGGGCTCAGGAGCACCCTGGTTGTCACGAGAGCTTTCCTATCAGGTAGACCTGTGACCTTAGACTTGTCGCTTTACCTCTGTGGGCTTCACATCCCGCTTCCAGGGAGCCACAGGGTTGGACTAGATCAGGGCTCTCAAACTGCAGTAAGTATCAGAATCATCTGTGGAACCTGATAAACTTCCAGCTGCTTAGGCCTGACCCTCAGAATCGGACTGAGTAGATCAGGTGGACCCCAGGAGTCCATGCGTTTAACCAGCCTACCAGGTGATTCTGAAGAGTCAGTCCACCAACCAGGCTTGGACAGCCACTGGTGGGACAACCCCCTGGCCCCCTGCAGGCTCCAGCCTCCTGGAGGCCGCAGTTTTAAATGCTGCAAAGCTTAGCCCTTCCATAGCCCTGCTCTTGGTGGTGCAGGATGCTGTGGCCTCTCTCCGGGCCCTGCTCCTTAGGACCACCCTCAGTTCCTTCTCACTCACATTCTCTCCACTTTTCCCTCTGCAGAGACCTTATCCCCCTCACATCTCAGGTCCTTGGCTTCCACGCCATTGAAAGTGGGGCATTCTTGCCACCGTGACGCCCTTAGAGCTTGTTCCTCCTCTCCTTGCCGTGAAAGCATCCATGCCATTGTCTCCCTGAGGTGTCCCAGTGTGCCATCCCTGCCCCATCCCCGCCCACATCCTTCTCCCATGGAAACCCAGGCCTCAGCTGGTGAGGAATCTGGACTCCAGGCTTTAGGTTTGGGATGGACTCCGAGAGGTACCCGTGAGCTTCAAACAGTGAAGGTACCTAACTAACGTGTTCTTAGTATTCAGCAAGAGCATCCAAGCAAAGCCAAGATGTGGGTTTCTACCTCTTCTGAGTTCAGATAACACCCAAATAAAAGTAGTGCAATGTAGAACAATAACCCCTTTGGAATCTGAAGAAGGTTCCAAATTCTAAATTTTCCATGAAAGGCTTTCCACTCATAAGGCGAGAAAGCAGATCTGGGGAGACAGTGGTTGGCAAACACAAACGCAGGTAGGAGTAACTTCCAACTGGTGACTTCCAGGGGCCAGATGGCGGGAGATTTCCATAGCCGTGTTTGTCTTCTCCGTGGGAGAGAAGGGTTGGGATTCCTCTTGGGAAGGAGGGCAAAGAGCCATGCCCCCTGCAGGGTCCTGGTCAGGGGCCCCATTTGTTTACCTTCCTCCCTTGTTTGTATTTTTGGGAACAGGGTTGGGCTGCCTGCAGAGCGGGACCTCCCACCTCCTGCGGAGCCCTCCCCACCTGTACCACACTCCCTAGCTCCTCCCCACCCTTTCCCTGAGGCCTCAGACCCAGTCGGGCCAGGGACCAGCTCTTACTTACTCGGGAGCAGGGATGGACTCCACCAAACAAGGACCTCTTTATTCAGCCCCTGGAATCAGGCCACGCAGGGACAGGGAATAATTGGAATATAATATAGCAGCATTTCTACCCATTGGGTCACGCGCAAGATGTCCGCGGAATCTCCGGCCACCCGGCACTGTAATGAAGCCAGCTCCCACCCGCCCCGGGGAAGGCCCGGTCAGGGTCTCAGAAAGAGGCTGGTCTATTGAGGGAGGCACACTGCACTGGGGAGAAGGATGGGGTGGGGGGTGGGGGGGTTAGGGGATAGCAGGAAGCACTGGGGAGCCAACTGGTCGCTGGGCTTAGTGTGTTACTTAGAAAACTCTGGAACCTTGCCTTGCTCCAGATCTTTCTTCCATCTTTTAAAATGCTGAGAGGCACCAGGAAGCCATTATTGAACTAACTGCTTTCCCCTCCAAATAAATGAAGGTCAGTTTCAAAGAAACAGTTGTACTCTCTATATACTGGAACCAAGCAGGAGCTCCTCTCGCCGTTGGTTTGTTTCTCCAGTCCTCTTGTTCGCAGCGGGGCCGGTGCGTCCCCTCCTCCCACGAGACACAAGGGAGGGTGCGGGTCCCGAGATGACTCAGGACAGAGCCGCCCCACAAACACACACTAATCCTCCAGCTCGGAGGTTTCAGAACATAAGGATTTGAGTCGCTCACAAGGAAAGTCACTCGTTTGAGTGAGAAGAAATTTTTACACATAGGGAATCCTTCCTGGAAGAGGGAAATCCTACTGAAGAAATATATATTTGATCCTTAATGAAATCATTCAGACTTCCTAAAGCATCTACTGTGTGCCAGGCACTATATTAATTACTGGGCTGTTGGGCCAAAGTCAAACATGGCTCCCGCCTGCAGGAGTCCTACAGCCTAGTGAGATCTTATTATCATGGAGCACATCCTGTAAGCCAGACATTCTGTTAGGCCCTCCACAGACATCATCTCATTAATCCTCACAGCTGCACTGACAGCACCGAGTAATTGCTCCATGTCTACAGATACACATACCGAAGCTCAGAGAAGGTGTCTTCTCGCTCAAGGTCGCACAGTAAGGAACTGACGGCACCAAGAGCTGAATCCAGGTCTGTCAGAACAGGCACCAGCCTGCTCTACTGCACCCAGGAGATGTCCGGTCCCAAGCTGCTCTCATTGCAAATGCTCTCCAGGAACCCCAGAGCCACCTTGCCAAAAGGTGGTTATTGTACTTCTGTTACAAATCCCTACCTTTTCACTCACCCCTGAGGAAAAGATGCACATACAAAGTGTCAGGGAAGTTCATCCAACATTCCAGCCTAGGGCTGGATTTTCTCCACACCTCCTGCACGGCGTGGGATGTGGGTCTCTCAAGGTTGGGCCTTTTGCCATTCACTCACTCCCTCATTTCACTGAATGAGTATGTATTTATAGCATGCCTACTATGTTCAGGCATGTGCTAGACATGTAGTGATGAGCAAAACAGCCATGTTCCATGTTCTCATAGGATTTAGTTTTAGTGGGAAACACAGATAATTTGAAAAACCCATGCACACAAACGTGAATGCAAATGTGATAAGTGACTTGAAGAAAGGGGTGAGATGCTATTAGAGGTCTATAGCGGGAATCAGAATGTCATAGGGGTCCCTGA